CGTCGGTGTCTAAAAGATTTCTGAGACTCGCATACCATATGAAACCTTTTCTCTGGAGGACACGGTCCCAATCCCTGACAAAACCACGGAATCGCTTGCTCCACACCCTTACCTGAACAGAAGCCGGATACCGCCCACTCGTGTGCTCTCCAGCGAAGAAAATTCGCTCTTCACCAGTGTAAGAGCCGTCCTCCATCCGAGCCCTCACAGGTTCGGCCAATCTGTCCCATAAATCGCCTGAAAGAAAAAAGGTCTGATAAATAAGTTGTTCATGCATAAAGCGAACTCACCATCACTTCCGCAGGGTATATACGCGTATGCTCCTGAGGCGAATGGATCTTTATGCCATCGTGTGATCACTGCTTCAACTGGCTAAAATCAAAAAGAGTAGAAGTTGTGCGTAAGGAGAAAGAGGTCAGGCCGTGAAAAAAAATCAAGCTTACCCCTTTGGGACATGCCGAACCAAAAATATTGGCTAACACATTCATGGCTTTTCGAACTATGACCTGAATAGAAAAATTAGGACATTTCGTTAGTGACAATGCAATGCAATTTGGGTCTATGTTATAATCCTGATACAGCACCTCATTGGGCGCCTCCAAATTGGCAGCTTCTCCGGCCATCATTGCGATTAGAACAGGTGCCTTACTCAACGCAGTAAACATGAACATTTCACCTCGAGATGCCCTGAAGGATTGCCATTCATTCTCGACTGACGTACGAGATATAGAGAAATTAAAGTGAACAAAACTTACTTCGAATGGTTGAGGTGACCGAAATAGTTTTGAGTTACATCCCAAAACGGGCGAGAGAAGATTAGGACCACCTAAAATGGTAACAGCTACCGCAGTACAATGAACGGCTTAAACTTAAGTGAGTAAATTCCCGGAAACGAGAAAAAAGTTCTTGGAGGGATGCAAAAATAACCTTATTGAAGTTTCCGAATCCCATTTCGTTGATGGCATCGACAGAGGGTTCCGGTAGTGGTGGGTCAAACTTCGGAGCCTCATTACAGTTGCCGACAGATCGCTTTAAAACACCCAGTGGCATAGCACACAAACACACGTCACCTTCTACTGAAGATCTTGTGTCATCAGATTTGTAATGGACTTCTACACCTGAAATACGCTCAAAATATTTCATTTTTGCAAAATTGACGATTACTTTTGTTTATACAATAAAAAGGCCGGAACTGAGAGGGTACATGTACTAAGAGAACCAAGAATAATATGAAACTTGCTTCGTCCTTCTAGACCCTAACTACACATAGACTGACAAAATAATGACAAGCACTACCTTTGTCATTGTATTTGATCTTTTCGACTACGGCGTTCTGCCTGATCAATCCGGCAACGTCACTGCTAACCAATCGAGTCAAGAAGTCGCCATAGCCGTCTCGAACTGAAACATAATGCTTAACTCAGTATGGAAGAAAGGTTTCATCTTCCACTCGATCTCTGTCAGCACTAAAACTCAACATAAAGAACGACAAGAGCAGCCTAACTGCATCCATAAAACGTAAGCCACACGAAAAATTTTCTTTCTTACTGTGACAGATTTGCTCAATTTATGGTCTAAACTTCATTTGGTCACGGTCATTACTTTTTGGCTAATTATAAAATGCATGCGTAGACATGCAGCTGAAACTAAAGCAACGAGAAAATTAACAAGTTTGTGAAACAATAAGGACTCAAGCTCCGAAGCATAAACGAGTGAAATGGTCAACACTCATTAAGCAATTGCGGCGCATTATGATCTAGTGTTTTTTAAGTAACTATGACTTGAGGGGCGGAAGTGGTGTGGTAGCGAGTGAAGCCACTTCCCACGCTTACAACAAGGGCTAAAATCTAAGATCTAATCCCATGAAGTCCAATCAGGCCTTCTAACCCTCCGATCTCGTACTAGACTCATCTGGGAAGTTAAAAACAATTGCTCGCACATCGGCTAAGTGGCTCCAAGTCATGTATGGACAATGCCGCATCCAAAACGTCATTACGATTCTGAATGGAATATAATGTGTGGCGCACTCCACGAAGAAATTGGTTAACGCCGAAACTTTAATCTATTACCTTTAAATAGGACTATACCCGAAAGAAATACGAGTCTTTGATGGCGCTGGGACAAATGCAGCCACTACACCGGCTCCGCCCTTTGTTTTGAATTATTAAAACAAAATACACTGCACTCACTCGCCATATGTGAACCAGTGAACTGAAATTCGTCATCTTGATCAAAGTGCTGTAGAGACAATTTGTCCAATGTTCCCCCGCTGACAAACTCCAAATTAGCGAAGTGGAAATCGAGAAGTCGACGATCACGTTGGTTCATGTACACTTCACTGAAATTAAGACCCTGTTTAGGGAAGATGTATTGCTTCACTACAAAGTTCAAAAGTTGTGACTAAAAACAATAACCGGTTGACTACGAAAAAAAAAGCCACAAAACGGTCTGAAAATGACCAAACCTCGGTTCTTGTTTTTTGAGATTACGTAACGTTGTTTCTAAATTGCGGAATCGCTCTCTTGCAGCATCGTAGCGCTGAAATACAAACAACTAGAAAGGTGATAGAGATCAATGAAAATTAACACCCACTTTTATCGCTTCTCCCAAATCCCTCTTATAGCAACGACGTAGAATATCCTGCTCAAGTCTGGTATCCGCATTCTCCGAACGCAAAAGTGTGAGATCTTGCGTCCTCAACTTATCAGCTAGGTATGCCGCACTCTTTTTATACAAAGTCATCTGAAAGATTGTAATATTCGTTATTTTCTCAAAGCAGTGTTAATGCTGAAAGTTCGTATAATAGGTACATCAGACCTCAACAAATTGACGACAGAGCAGGCCACGCACTTAGGCTGGCGTCAGAGTCCGCGATCCCGTCGCGATCGTGCGAAACCTGCGACGGATCGCGACTCTGACACCAGCCTTAGGCCTACGTGCGCAGTCGCGCGGAGTATGGGCTCTGCCACCCATGTCACCCATTTTTTTGCATGATTCCACTACTTATCCTCCATGTTTTTGGTTCAAGCTATAGAATTGCCCTAGGCAGCCTTAAAAGACAATGACCCACAGCAGAAGGTAAAAAATAATCCCGTATTTGTATACTTCTACGCAATAGATATTTGTCAGCGTCGGATTTGTTTGTCATTGAATAGAAAGTGTCGTATAGCATACAGCACCAAAGAAACATACGAATACAAGCAGGGTGAAAATCGTGTCGAGTACGTGGTCGCAGAGGTACGACCCCCCCCCCCGAAATCGAGATCCTGGCACGACCCCCTCTAACAGAGCAAATTAATTCAATTAAAATAAATCCTGCAAAACAAATCAAAAAAAATTCTGCAAAATAATGCTAAGGACGCTTCATCTTGTCATCTATGCACGTCTTCCATCGCTGCATACTTTTGTGTACATACTGAAATATCGACTCGAGGAAAGAGGCATTAACTTTGTGTGACCTCAAGGCGAGGTTCGTTCAGAAACGCACAGAAATCCTGAAGACACGGGGTTGCGATTCAATCTTGATTCTTGCTTGAGTATATCAAAACAGCCGAGTGTATCAAAGGCCGATTCAACGGCAGCTGCGGCGCGATTGTCACTGGGTCAGATTTGCCGAAATTTCAAAAAAAAACGTCCGAATCTACACCCTCGATGAAAAGGTTGCATTCCTCCATTTCACAACCTTTGAAGCAGCTTGAGGTAGAGTTAGATAGAGCTGGATTTCGCGTTTCCAACAAGCATCGAAATTGCTCTGGAAGCCTTCCTTGCAGAAAGATAGGGTCTGTCAAATTTCGTCGAGTAAATGTCGAGGAGGCCGAAATTTTCACGCGAGTTTTTGCCACTTCAAGAGCAATATATCTCTTATATTGTAAGATCCTGAAAAAGGGAAGATAGTTTTGGAAAGCGGAAGGTTTGCGCTTCCTGATGGTCTGTTTAGTTTTCTTCTACAGCTTTTTGGTTGAAGAGATAATTGCGTCGAGGATCTATCGAGGTCGGATCCGGCCACCTGGAAATCCGCTCCCTCATTCACCATTGCAAGTGTGACTCGTTGGCAACACTCGGAATGTGTCTAGAACAATATCTTTGAACGCAAACAATAAGAATAGGAGCAATCGTCATCATCCGATTTGGTATTGGTATAAGCCATGCATCCCTCCTCCACTCACAGTTGCAGAATCGATTGAAAGGTGTTATATGATGGGGACCTTCGAACGAAACTGTATTGTAGTAGACATAGTGTGTTGTGCTATTCCTGTAACCTAAAAAACAACTTCATTTGCCCAGCGCTTTTTCTTCACGGTTGTCGTTTTTCCGACAGGGTCCCTAACAACAGCGTCATTCTCAGCGAGGTATTAAGGGAGAAGGAGCGAGTGATAGGCGGAGGAGGTGCCTTTGCAGCGCGTGCGCACATGTGGCACTCTTCTTTGCGGGGATGCACTTTCATTCTTTGTACTGCCTTCAAATACGCCCTTCTCATGAAGGTGGAGGAATGGAGCGACTGAACCTGCAAAGAAAATTTAATATCATGTTTTTTTTCGGATGTTTTCATTTTCTGCTGCGCTATACCCTATTACCTATCTGCACCATGATACCACTTCTGTTACTGACCCCCAAGAGTACGACCCCCCATGGACCAGCCCAACAGGTACGACCCCCCTGTCGAGGATTTCCTCGACCGATATTCACCCTGAATATCAAGACATGACATTCCTAGAGCAAGTGTTAATAGTATATTTCGTTTTGTACAGACGTTACACATTCATTTGATCATAATCCCACCACTGAACCCTGTACAACATTTAGGCGACGCTGCGCGTGCTGTCGTCAATGTGTTAAGATGAAAAAGATCGAAAATTTTTGGTGTCTCTCGTTAGAGTCAAAGGCAATAGTACATGGCTCCGGCCCTTTGTAGACCTTCACAACGCTCTCAAGGTTCTTTTCAAATGGAATGGAACGAATGACGTATCGATTTATGTGCCCCATTTTTAAGAAGATTTAATCAAAAACACGCAGAATTTTTTAAAACTCCCACTCATTGGCTACAATCTTGCGATGGACCTCGACTAATGAAAGAATGACTCGAAAAAGAAATTCGTCGCTAGAATCCAATGTCGAAGTTCACGAAGGATAACCCACAAGTAATCTTCACACCGAGCTTCCACCGATGGGGCACAATGTGCTATGGTCGCACTCGGTGGTCTGGTCAGATAAGAGTGACACCGTTATTTCAGACATTTCCATAGTTCTCTATACGCAACAAGATGAATTGAAAGAGGGTCAAGAAATATGAAATGCATGATTGCAACCACTTCCGAATTGGAGAAGATACGGAGAGAGCATTAGACCAAACGTTCTGCTACTGTCGACCAGCTTCTTCAGAAGCTGCGCTATATACGATATTGTTTTCCTTCCTTTCGTTTGAAGCCGGGTTCGGCTGCCTAGTTACAGTGGCTAGTTCACACAATCGTCAAATATGATGGAATCCTACAGCAAAACTCGTAGAAACAAAATTCTTGCAACAGAAAACATAACACTCTGATGATGGACATAATGATGAATAGATTCCGACAGTTTAAGACTACAAATCAGGAAATCAGCTGCAGCTCTTCTAGGATGTATAACTGGTGAAGCATTATTTTTCCTCTGAAGAAAACTTGCTCAAAAATGTGATCAAGACTAACCTCATTTTGAACCTGTTTCATTTTCTCCAAAATTTCTTCATAGATCTGCCAGAATTTCAGCCGCCTTCGCTGCATGCGAAGCTCGAGCATTCTGAAGTAGGCAGAGATAGGTACCACGGCCATTATCAACATTTACAAAACCTTACTATGTGTTAATAAAAATGTATACACAACGCTCACTCAAGTATATTATTGTAGGCATCAGCTAGGCTCAGTTTCTTTCCATTCACTTCCGTAACATGCAGAGTATGTGCAATGTAGGAAGCTGTGTCACCGATTTTCCTGTAACAAAACTCTGAAGCATTGCACCAGCCACTTCTCTCCGTAAGCGAAAATGGTGAAGGATAATGATTAACAATTGATCAATCTTTTGCTCAGTATGCGCCACGCGACCTTCTTCATCCAGAAGCAGCATTTGAAGAAGGATTAGGCCCACACAGTGGCAGTCAGCCGACATACGAGTCTGCATATTTATTCACAGATTAATGTTGAAACCCCGTAGTGATGAAAATCGGCCGTGGTGTGCGAGATCCGATAAGGATCTTGTAACTATCGTGGAGATTAGAAAGATAGCCTTGTTAGTATACCTAATCCTTACATTACCTTCCGTATAAAAAATCTCATATTCAAAGCAACAGTCCCAGCAGGGTTTTTACCTTCGACACTAATGGTGTGGAACGATGCGCTAGCCCTAGTCAAGAATAAGAAGTGTGACTGAACAAAACTCACCTTGGAAAGCCGCTAGAAAGGGAGCTGAACGGCTTCGAAGTGGGCGTGGTTGGAAATCGGCCGAGGGGATTG